TTATCTTCCTTTTACCCCCTCCCTCCACCCTATTCCTCCAGCGCTCGATGGCTCCAGGAAGAGAGAGCCAGGAGGGGGTCGCATGGAATCTACCAGAATCCCCAACCAAGACGTGCTCTGGTCGTAACAAAATCTTCAGACAAAGGGTCTGATCGAAGCGAGCAGGTACTTCAAGAAATCACATTAGGTACAAGCGGCCGGACTTTACCTGAAGCTCATCTCAAAACGAAACTCAGGTACGCAATATTTTCTCAGCAGATCCTACGCAGTGACAAGCCCGTGACCATTCTGTCCCCCAAATTGTGAGTAGTCATCAAGTCACATATTATTGATGAAACCTTCTGATGACGACTGCAAATACCCGTCGATTCCTGATTATGTAGACACCATTTCGAATGTAATTTTTTACAATTTCAAATTACAATGAGAATTTTTTACAGGATGTGGGTTCGGTTATGCGGCCTTCTACTTCTTCTTGTGCAAGTAATCCCTGCAAATGGTGGTGATACAACTTACAGTCGTGGTTACGGCAAGTATGGCTACGCATGTGGATGTCACAGCTATCAGAAATACTACCAACCAGATCCTGAGAAAGTACCTGTGAAAGTACCTGTGCCTGAGAAAGTACCTGTGAAAGTACCAGTTCCAGTACCTGTTCCAGTTCTGCAGCCTGTTCCGGTCATCGTGCCGCCTCCTCCTCCGCCTCCACCTCCACCTCCTCCTCCACCTCTTCCTCCTCTGCCTCCATTCGTGCCCCTTTTTCCAATGCCACCTTTCGGATATATGCATCCATGGTATAAAGTAATCATCAAGATCAAGAAAGAAGGTTGGTTACTTTCATTTGAGATTTTAAATTAAAATCGAGTTCAGTAAGAAGAATAACTATTTTCTGAAAATCGCAAATAGTAAACAGAAAGGACAGGCAGTCTGTAGATATATATTGGTTTTAATTGCTCCCTTAGCAAACAACGTGTAGCTTATGATTGCATAGTGTGTCACAGTGGTCGTATTAACAGCACAGTCTAGTCGGGAGAAGCTTTGCTTGAAATTAAAAAGAAATTTTATATTGCAAAGCTTTTCAAGAAGACCTATCTCTAGATCTTTTCTGAAGACGTACCTTCCATTAATTTGTAAAGATAATCTAATGCGGAGAGGTGGATCTTCCCTTCAAAAAAACTCTTACCATTAGTAGAATAACGTTTAAAAAACGCGATCCGCGACCAAGTATAGAAGTTGAAAATATGCGTCGGGAGGGAAGCGTGGACCGCGGCGGACAACCTTGAACCAGTTTTGCGGAAAAAATTGTAAGGGAGGGACGCTATAACGCAATATTTCAGTGACGCATCCTTTTTTCCGACTCCGCCTCCAGACTACTCTCTCAAAGCCTGCCTTTCGGTGGAAAACGAACCTGCGGAACGGAAAAGCGTGAAAATCCTCCTTTATGCGGTCGTAGAGCTCTCTTGCCGTCTATAACCCTCCCCCCAATCCACTATCTGTGATGACGAATGATAGCGGGCTTTGCCTTTAACGGGCAGAATAACTGGCAGAAAAAGGCGCTGTGGTCTCTGAGCACGCCTAATAAATCGAAGAGGCATTCCAAGCGGAGGTGCAGTAAGATCGAGGTACATACGGTAGAAATTTTCAACAACAGACGCACCAATTGCCGCAGTTCGGCGAAGGGGAGGGGGAAGGGGGGGGGGGACTGTGCACTTTCCCTGCTTCGCTACTTCCGCTTCCCAAGTCTCACTCTGGTGAAACGTGTCAACTCTTGTGAAGTCACGGAATGGCTCTCTAGGTGGGTCGACGCGCCGATGAGAAGTAGCAAAAGTGCAGAATGTCCCTCGCTCCCCTCAGTTGCCTAGCTCTCCCCACCAAGTTAATGACTTGAAATATGTAAAAGGCTACTACCTTCACTACCTTCAGTCCACTAGTCCGCTGTAAGTGGATGGAAAACTCACCCTAGAGTAGATAAGAAAGGGAGCAGAAGATAACAGAGGAGCGGTAGTAGGGGCTTTATGCGCATGACGTACTCAAACAAGTAAGGCTATATTCAGCGAACAGTCCAGCTGACTTTACAGATTGCGTTTTCATTTCGATATCTGATGTCCGCTGAAGCCTCCAGCTCGTCAATTCGCTGTTGCATCGGCTAATCGGTTGATCAATTTAGATTCGCGAGTGGGGTAGTAAGGCTGCGTTCATACTTCGGGCAGAGTCCATTAGCTTTCAAGCCTCCAGCAGCGTCAGCAGCTAGGAAGGAACGGATTTCGGTCTAGGGTCTGCCAGCGTGCACCAGCGTTCGGAAGAGGAGACTATGGTGCGACAGGAGGGTATCGGACAGCTGGAGCCCTCCGAGCTGGTGCGCCATACTCTCTGTCTGCAGACTGCTACCATCCTATCGTGCCATACTCTACCAGCTGTCTGCTACCCTCCTATCGTGCCATACTCTCCTCTCCCGGACGCTGGTAGACGCTAGTGCACGCTGGCACAGGCTAGTAGATGCTAGACTGATACATGTACAGTCCTCATCATTGCGGATCGGTGGGGCGTGTCAGCCAGTATGAGTGTGCACACTGTTGAAGCCGTTCTCAGCCTTTTTGTTGAAACGCGTATGCGAAAGTGGTAGAAAACGAGTAATACGAAGGATATAATACAGTCATATCATTTGCTCGCTTTAACTGGTGGAGAGCGGGTTTGGCACCGCGCCAAACGCAGCCGCACTGACACGCCCAACCGGTCCGCAATGATGAGGACTGTACTTCCCAGGCCCTCGAGACGCTGGGAGACGTTGATGCACCCTGTTAGAGGTTGGCAGATGCTAGTTTGGATCCATACTTTCCTGGTCGCTAACCCTGCCGTACGCACGATACGCTAGTGGACGCTGCGGCAAAGTATGAACGCACCCCAATCCTGTATTAGAACACTGAACCACTGATGTATCAGTACGTCGTTCCCTGTGCCTCGTGCCAAATGCCTCGTGTACGTATTTTACCTTGAGATGTTTGATTGCATTCGCTTCCTCCCGAAAAAAAAGACTTCCAAAAAAAGTAGATCGAGTTCCAAACGAGAGACTGTCATCAGCAGAAGTCCGCATACTACCAATTTTCGCAAAGAGTATATGAGTTGTCCTACGACGCTGCAGAAAAGAAAGGGGCTGTAATCAAAAGCAGTTGGCACGATAGTTTCCTACTTAGCCTAAAATGCTAGTAGGTGTAGTAGGAAAATGTGGGGAAATGTAGGGAAATGGCGAAAGAACGGAGTGAAGCGGTCAACCGCTACCGAAGGTACTGCTGCTCATGTGTACCCATGTATACATGCAGCATCATGGCCGCTTCATACCAATCCCTTCGCTTCATAATTTGCTTAGCAAATGAATGAATACGAGCGTCAGGAACGGTCGTCCATTTGTGGGCGGGCGGGCGTGGCGGGCGTTTGGGACGTAAAGTTGTGGCTTGATAGGGCCCTTATAAGGGCACCTTCCTCGGGGAAACCGCTATGCAGCGCCTGCCCAGGGTCGCGGAATTCTATCCAGGAGTATTGACCCCAGTCGTCTTGGGGATTTATCGTGCCAACTGCTTTTAAAGGCAGTTGGCACGTTTAACTTCTAAGACGAACGCCTGGCAGAATGGGAAACCGCGCCCCTGAGCAAGCGCTGCGTGGCGCCTTTTCCTTTGGAGGTACCATTATGAGGCTCTATCAAGCTGCAACATACCCAACCCGGACGCCTATCCCCCCCATAAATGACCCCCAAAAAATGGACGACTGTATTGCTCGTATTGCTTCATTTGCTTGATAAAATATGAAGTGATTGATATCAAGCGGCCGTGGTGCTGCATGATATATGTGTACCTGCGTGCAGCCACCTACCGTAGCTGTTATTGGCAATGATGCCTACGGAAAACTCGTCCAAAATTGCTTTTCGAGAGTAAGAACGAAGGTTCTTCTTTGCAAGTTTTTGACCAGTTCACTTCGTTTTTTCGCCATTTTTCCAATAGCACCCTGCTACGACGAGATGCCCAAACAAGTTGGGAACCTTGCACAGGATGTCTTGGAGGCAGAGTCAAACATATCCCGGGGGAGTCGTATTCGGCCCCTCTCGAGAGGTTAGCTGTATTTGCGGAGGTCAATACTTAACGCAGTGACGTAGGACGAGCGATGCGTTCGAAAAGGAACTCGAGTATATGGCGTATTCCATGGAGGTGTCGATCAACTCCCGTGTGCTGCAGTTCCCATTCGTCATATGGGAAACAGGTGAACGGAAAGCGTGCCAATCTTTCTAGATGACGATGTGGGCTTCACAGTGGGGAGATCGCCTTACTGCAGCTGAACTGACTTTTATAGCGAAATACTCGACGGGTGAATATTTGTGCTGTAACCGAGCTATAGCAAAGATGTTCTGCTCACTAGAAGGAGAGATCCCCCAAATGCTGATACCATGAAAGTTTTCTGTCTGTGCTATGTCTGAAGGAAGTTATGGCCTTTGAAAGTTGAAAAACTCACAGTGGCCAAAAGTTTTCCAGTTCTTTTTGCCATTACCCGCGACGGACCAGTTTTAGCTAGATTCAAGCTACAACGAAGATGTTGTGCCCTATAGAAAGAGAAAGCCTCCCAGCTCTCAATGCCGCGGGTGTCCGTTCTAGGTTATGTCTGAACGAAGTTATATCCACTGGAATGTGAAAAAAACCTCGCTTTACCGAAAACTTTCCGCGTTATTTTCTGATCAAAGCCTGACCAGCTTCATGGAAGCTGTAACGCATCCCCTGGAACCCTCCCCATACAACACGAATTATTCTTGAATCGCAGGCCCTGGTCCAGAGGCACTACAGGCAGTACCCCGCAGGGGGTGGGGCAACTTTCACAGATTGTTAATCATTTTAGTTGACATCGAAATGAGCGTCCAAATAAAAGCAAATGTACAGTGTGTCTTAAAAATTTGCTATTGTCAAGAAGGTTGTTGCTACTAAAGTTTCCTAAATTTTCGACATTCTTACCTATGTGTAAACTCAATTTTTTGTTGCTTCAGGTCTGCCACCTCCTGGAGGATGCTGCGCACCTGGCGGAGGACAACCTTCTGGAGGATACGCACCACCAAACGCACCTGCCGGAGGACAACCTTCTGGAGGATACGCACCACCAAACGCACCTGCCGGAGGACAACCTTCTGGAGGATACGCACCACCAAACGCACCCGTCGGAGGGCAACCTTCTGGATACGCAGCACCAGCAGAGCTAGCAAAAGTATCGGAAAAGTCTACATGAACACAAGTCAAAGGTTGATCTAAATTGTAAAGGAGAAGACATTGCACGACAGTTCCATATCATGAATCTTAGAAAAGCATCGAGAAATTGACACTTTTCCGATCGTTAGTTTTTCGTGAATTGATGTTTTTTTATATTTTTTGAAAAAGGATAAAACCACTCTTTCAAGTCATGAACAGCTTCGTTTTTCTCTACTGGCTTACAAAAGGGAACGAGGGCGCGTTGAAGGAACGAAGGTTATGGAGGTATTCTGCTGGAATATCTGCTCATTTGTTGCCCATCCAGAACTGAAGAGACAGAGGACGCTTCCCCAAACTATCGAGTTCTTCTGAAAGCAAAAGAGAGTCTCTGGTAGGGGGAATTCACAGATTCCCGCTGAACTAATGCTGCCAAGCTCAACTCATTGGGCCAAGTATATTGATAATTTCCACTTCTTTCTCTACTAGAGAGTTCGTAAGTTTTCGTGGAACTTTTGTCGTAAATTATGGAATATTTGATATCTTTTGGATGAGGAGGGCTCATCCAATGGGACAATGGTTAGCATGCACGAGGCATACAGTCATAATCCCTGCAAACGACAGGATTTGTGACGTGGAGGGGATTGGAGTGCAACTAAGATTGCGTTCATACTTCGCGACAGCAACATCAGCGACCAGTTGCGTCCACAGTTCCGAGCGTTCAGCAGCGTTAGCGACTAGAAAAGTGTGAATGTCAATCTTGCGTTCTGCAGGATCTACCAGCGTCTACCGGCGTCCAGGCTTGGAAAGTATATGCATCGGTTAGCGTCTGCCAGCATGCATCAACATCTACCACCGTCTGGGAGAGAAGAGCTAGGCGTGATAGGAGGGTAGCAGACGTAGCAGTAGAGTACGGGGAGATTGGAGGGTAGCAGACTGCCGATAGAGTATGAGGGAGAGAGGAGGATGGCAGACTGTACCACCTAAATCACCTGTACGATGTCCACTCCTGGAGCTCACCAAGTTCCGAAGCTTAGGCTTAACATGGTGGTTTCAACGTTTTGGTGCAGAACAAATGGGGAAGATTCTGGCCACCGAGCAAGCGGTCTTCCTGTTGTTCGTTTGACCCGGTCTCGTGGAATCTGGTTGGTAGCCCGTTCAACTTTTTCCCGTTACCGAAAAATTGGGACGTTTCCGTCATCGAAAAATTGCATGACGTGTTTGGCCATCTGATCTTCGATTCCTTGACAAACACGGCAGCATCACTAATCTTTGACCGCTGGCGAAGATCAGAGCCCCAGATTCTCCTTCATTTGGCAGAAGAAATAAAAACATCGTCCTCTTCACATTGGATAACGCTGACTAGGTGCTCCCGTCTGCGCAAAGCTCAGCTCTCCAAGGCAATTCACGCGATTATGTGTCACGGATAGTTGCTGTTCAATAGTGAACCCGCAGCTGATAGGTGATCCCCGATGGAAGAAAAACCAAAAGAAAGTGAAAACACCATAAACAAAATCGCTTCCTGACAGTCACAACGTCCTGCGTTCCCATGCAACCGGTGGCTGACAAATTTTTCTCATCTCCCACTACCAAATATCATCTAAAGAAAAGAAAACGAAAACAGCAATAACAACGACGCAAAACTCGTAACACGGAGAAACTTCCGAAAACTCTGTTCGTATTCATATAATTACGGTGACGTGCAGATTTTGGTGCACGTCGAGCTTTAGCACTAAAAAATTGCATCAGTGTTGATCTGAACAAGTCTTACCTTACAGGATAATTGCTGTTGACAGTATGTGCTCCTAACGAAAAAAATGTGCTGAAGAAGAGCAGAATCACTTATGAGACGAGCGCAAAAATGGTCAGGCAATTCCGATTCATGTCCGCCGTCCCTCAACTGAGCGCCGATGCTTCAGGTTGGACGGGCGGTCCAACTGAGCGAGTTCTAGAACTAGGGGTTCCAGCAGCTGTGGCACCTTCCCCACTCGCTGTGAACTTGCGAAAGCGGGATCCCCCCTTAGCATGGGTACACTCACAAGGAAGGAGCGACACAAATGATTGGGCGCGAGGCTGGCTTTGAAGAAATGCTCTGAGGTATTGATGCAGCACGATATGGTACTTGGTCTAGTATGCTAGCTGGGTGCTATGTAGTGACAGAAAACGAAGTCAAACTGTCAAAAACCGAGGGAGAAAAGCCTTTGTTCACAATGACTAAAAAAGCGATTTCGGACGAGTTTCCCACAGGCATCTGCTACGGTAGGCACGGCTGCACGTAGGAGTTCATATAATCTATGCAGCACCGGCGGCCGCTTCATGACATTCTCTTCGCTTTCTAATTTATTAGGTCATCCCATTCAAAAGTGCCGCTACTTTAGAGGAATGGCAAAAAGCAAAGGGGACAGGACAACGGGCTACTATACCATTTGGAAGCTAGTACCTTTAGCTATGTATCTGTGAAATTTGGCGAACCTACCCACAGAAGAAGTTCTCGAGAAATTGAAAAGAAGCCCGAGTGGTGAAAATCAGCGCCGGATTTTCAAATCAGGCGTCATAAGAGGAAAGTGCGCTGCTCAAATTTGACCTGCGCCGGACCAGTAGTTGTGTACAATGGTGTTCCCGAAATACAGGGTGAAAGGCTTGGCTCTAGAGCTCGAAGAAGGAAGAAAGGAAAAAATTTGTCGTGGATGGTCCCATAATGTTCATAATGCACAAGAAAAACAGGTGAATGAAGTCAAGCGCTGAATGTCTGATCACAGAGGCTGTGTCGAGCTTCCCCGCGAGTCTGACATCCCTGCTGCAATTGCTGCCCGAGTTATATCCGATAACTTGAGGATGGAGAGCTTGTGCGCATGGGTACCTAATTTTCTTGTAGAAGCACGAACGCAGTACCGATTCTATGCCTCTAGCAGTAATGTTCTCAGCATGAGATGTCATTCACGACTGTGAAAACGCACCCTGGCCCTAGATGAAATATGGGTGGTCTTGGACCTCGAGCCAAAACTCACAATCGTCAATTTTGTATGAATGCAGATGAGAAGCCGCCGAGTTCTACCATGAGGAGTTACGTGGGCGCAAGTGGATGATCATCATAGCGAAGGACGGCTTCAGACTCTATGCAAGGAATAAAATCGTGGAGGTCTGTGCCTATTGCCTGTTCCTCGGCAATCACATCAACAAATGGATGGTATCATACAACTTCAAGGAGGTCCAGTTGCTCGTCACAGTGCCAGGCTCGGAGTAACTGTATTGTAGGGCAGCGCTGGGACACAAACAATACTGAGACCTGGGCAACATAAAGCCGTTCGATTCCAACTGTCCTGGTCAATCGAGGGTACTCTTCGACGGCGAACGTCACAACGTTTTGTCGTTCGCCGAAATTGGCGTCAACAGCAATTTACACTTGTTGAAAAACCGAAGGTACAAGAGGTCCAAACGCCTCCGGGGCATTGAGAGATCATTGGTGAAGGGGGATCTACTCAGCTGAAAGCCAAAATATCACTTTTCTATCTATTCTCTTCATTGTTTTATTCAAATAAAACCAGCGGCACTTCTGAATGGGATGACCTAATACTTAGCAAATGAAGCAATACGAGCATCAGGGCAGTGGGCGTCCCGGTCGTTATGCTGTAGCTTGATAGGGCTCTAACAGGGTACCTTCCTTAGGAAAAAGCGCTACCCAGCGCCTACTCAGGGGCATTCCGTCCTGTCAGGCGTAGCAATCCTACTCGTCGGCCAACTGCCTTTACAGGAGACTTTACGCTCACCTTCTAAGAAGGTCCTCGTCATATGGAAGATGAATGGCCGCGCAACCGACATAGTATTTCTCCTGTAAAATTGCACGGCAACAGGACTGTAGGGTGGTGATACACAAGAGTCATCTTCATATTGTGCTCCGTCTCCAAAGTCCGTCCGTGCTATCGCCAAGGTGCAGCATTTGCATACTATCGGAATCCCGTAGCGAACACTTACAGGGGGGGCCAAAAAAAAGTCATTCCGGCCGAGTCACATATGAGCGAAGTTTTCGCAGCCCAGACAGAGGAAGTGGATATGAGTACCAGGGCGGAAGATACCCAAGATCTTCCTCTATAAGCAGGAGCCGGCTGCCGCCATCACACTTATGGTTATACGTGCCAAAATATGAAGTCATCTCCAGTCGCGGCCTGACTGGAGAACACCTTTGGAATTCACGTCGCCTCCAAACAGCTGCGAGAACTTCTTGAATGAAGTCATCCACAGATAGCTACCTGAAGGTCAGTACTCTTGACCTGCAAGACCTCCCACATCGACCAGCTACGCAACAGTCACAGTCTAGGACATCATCTTCACCGTATTCGCCGAGGCGCGAGTTGATGGTGTTGGACCGGGGTACCTGGAAAGGGGAAGACCGATATTTTTTTGTAGACCCCGACTGAAGGTGAGTGCTGGCGGTTACATCAAGTAACTCGAGTAGAATATGCCTACCCACCATGTGGTCGCCCGTACCTTCTTGGAGACCTTGTGCTGCTACAGGTTTGGGTGCCACCACATGGAATCAAAGGGTTTTGGAAAAACTCCCGCCTACTTGGAATGGAAGGGGGCTGAATACCTAAAGAAGGTAGAATATCCAAGTAGGTCACCTGACCTGTATCCCCTCAATTACCCGGTTCGGGCGGAGTTCAATAGGGTGGTCTACGGTGGCGGAGAAATCAACGATCTCACTCAACTCCGGTACCCACTCACTTTCGCGCGGCTGAATCTCTCGATGGCGCTCCTCCAGAAGGCTGTGGCGGAGTATCATTATAGTATTTAATGTGCTCTTTAATATGGTAGTAAAAATGTCCGATAAAAATTTAATAAAGTGTAACTTATAGCGCCTTGAAAGTCATGGAGGCAAAATGACTTTTTTTTGGCCCCCCCTGTATAGCTGAAGATAAAATCATAATCGAAAAAGGGCACAAAAAGTACCTGTTTTGACTACGGTCAGACCTAGCCGTGCTGCAGCGCGGGTGGAATGTGAAGTTGGCACTCGGGAATCAGTACACTCGGGCCTCGATCCCACCCTCGACAGGAAAGAGTGGCAGTGCTACTGGGAATGTGAACGCAATCACCTCACGAATGGCCGGGTCCCTGATCCTTGAAGTTGATGATCCCTATGCTCCCAAAAAAAGATGGTTGAAACAACAGAGTACGTAAGAACAACAGGAATTTCGGTGCAAATTCGAACTCTGAATGAAAGTATGAGCAGTGATTCAGCGGTCGCCAAACACTGGCGACAGGGTTAGTTTCATATTCATCAATAAAAGAAGTAAAGTTTTTACTGGAAGGCGCGGAAAATGGGCGTAGTTTGGCGAATTCTCAGATGAAATTCCAATAAAACCTATGGAGCATATTCACAACCCTCGAAACCTCATTATGAGGACTGCCTGTTTTGTTCCACGTAAATTAAGCGAGAAAGTTTTCCATGTTTGTATAATGTTTGTATACATACATTCTCGCCATTTGCGTAAGATCTAGAGGTTACAAACAGTACCGTTAGAGCTTCTTGGCCAGCTGGACTTCCTTTGGATTTCGTTTGGCTGCGGGTGGTGGCGTTTTACTTATTAATCATATTTTTCCGCCTTGAACCTATACGGGCCTTCCAGCCAGCTGTCACATACCCTGCCAGACAAGCTCTAGCGAGGTCGCACGCACGTAGGTACTTGATCTTGGAGATGCTTTGTGCATAACCTTCCAGAATCGTGGTCTTGGCTATGAGGGAAGTAGACAGGGCCCCTAGCTGCAGAAATGTGCCACTTATGGGGTCGTATTAAAATGGGACGATTGACCCCTTGTTAATGACTTGTTGAATGAAAATGAAAGGAAAGTTGGCCCCATTAAAGGGACTGAGTTTTAGTTGCTCGTAGTTGCAACAACCAAGCCGCACGCAGTAGATATAGATGAGATTCTGGCGCGTCATTGTACGCATAAATAAATAAATGAATAAATTCAAAGGGGTGTCCCAATCACGACTCTCCAGCTTCACTTCCCTTCGCTTTCGAGTGATAAATTATTGCACAGCTGCGCACCTGTCTACCTGCCATGGTTCATGCACTCATACAAAGGGTACATCATCGCGATATGTGAAATGGTGGTGCCACTACGACCCCCCTCCACCTCCCACTGGGGGAAGGGTCTCGGTGGGAGCCTCTCCTTCCACAGCACATACCCACTAATTTCCCAGTGTCGGGAAAAGTAGACTCCGCTCCCCTATGTATTTCACACAACCATGCTGTACCCTGTCATACATTCATGCAGTACCACACTCACTTCATATCAACCCTTTCGCTCCATACCGTACTTCCTAATGAAGCGATACGAGCATCAGCACATTTGTGGGCGTGCGGGCGTGGTGGGCGGCCGGGTCGGGTGTGCTGCAACTGGTAGGGTGCTGTAAGGGTACCTTCCCTGCAAGAGGCGCTTCCTCAGGGGCGTCGGAATCTGTCCAGCTCAGCGTATTAGTCCTGCACGTCTTGGGGATTCACCGTGCCACTTGCTTTGAGTTGTGGCAAACACCCACAGAAATGTTACAAATTAGTCCAGCACTCATTCTATTGGGTTGGAGAACAAGTTCGTTCGGCTTCTTTCAAAGAGCTTTATCCAAACCAAAACAATACTTATAACAATAAATTAATCAAATATGTATTCTCCGTCATTGTTTACGACCTCCTCCCACCTCTCGACCAATTTGTTGATGCCGTTCCGCCAAAAATCGCCAGGTCTAGTGTCGAAGAAGTTGTTGAGCCAGTTGAGGTCCTCTTCGTCTTCGAAGGTAACACCCCTCATTGGTTTGACATGGAGCGGAAAAGGTGATAGTCGGTTGGCGCAAGGTCCGGAGAGTACGGTGGATGCTGAAGAACCTCCCATTCGAGCTCTTGGAGTGCGGCTTTGACGTCTGCTACATGCAGCCTTGTTCTACATGCAGCCTGGCGTTGTCGTGGAGTAGGATGAGTTGACCTTCGATCGGGTCTTTTCATTCGAATTGCTCATTTACACGGTGCAGCTGGGCAATGTAGAGGTCCTTGTTGACTGTGGCGTTTCGTTCAAGCGTTTTCCAGTGTACTATAACTTCCCACTCCACCTTGTGATGCTCCTCATCGAATTGCAGGTCGTCCGCTGCGAGGCGTGTCGTCGAGGTCAAAGTCGCCGTTTTTGAAATTTGCAAACCATTTTTGTGCTGCGCGCTCGCCTATGACACCTTCTCCGTACACGTTGCATATATCACGAGCGGCTTCAGCTGCTTTTTGACCGCGATGAAAAGCGAAGAAAAGTAGGTGTCGAAAATGCTGATTTTTGCCTCCTGGGTATTCCATTTCTAAGCCTGAAAAATGAAAAAAATGAAATTATACTAACAAACAAATAACACACTTTTGTAGAGCAGAAAAAGCACTTTCTATTGAATGCAAACACTTTGCCAAACAACACGAATCATTTGAATAAAGCTCTTTGAAAAAACCGAACGAGCTCTTTTCCCAACCCAATAATAAGGGAATGAAGAATAAATTAATAAAGGTAATGCCAGTCATGAAAAACGATTGTGTAAACAGGGTAACAAATTACTTAACCATCCCAAATGAGAGTTCACCGAATTTCTCTCGAGACATGTTGCGTATGTAGGTGTTAACGTTTCACGAATGGCTCATACTAGGGCAAAACTTTTTTGACTGACCAATCACATGTTCCTGATGTTTGCCCATTGTTTCCTTGGGTTTCCAAATGTTGTTTTCTTTTTTTCCTTCCTTCGTTGATTAGAAACGTTCAGACGCTATCGACATTAGTCATCGAGCGCTCAAGGAGCAAGTTGACAAACTGCTTCGGAGGTGATCCACATACATTCCTATACGCTCTCAGCAGAGGTTGTATATCTTCCCGGGAATTGAGTAACCTACACCTGCTTCTTAGCGGTGATCAATTTGTCTAGAAAGGAAGGGGTGGAACGGACCACATTAGAATTAGAGGGGTCAGTAAGGGCTCTATCCTGAAGTTGTCTACTCTTTTTGTTAATCTTTTTTTTAGTACTCTAGCAAATTTCTGACTGGAGAACTTTACCTATTCCTGATTGATTTCTGTTTTCTTTCTTCTTTTTCTCAGTTTAGGTAAGATCGTAGATCGTTGCTAGTATAAGTTGAGTTCTGTGGAAGCGCACCTGAGTGTGCATAACAAATAAATAAATAAATAAATTAAGTTATTACTTCCTCCCAATTCGGCTTGATTTTCGTGCTGCTTGACCCCTAGGCAAATGGCATCTTCGGCAATTGCTTGCGAGAGCCGGCCGCTCTACTATCCAGCACGTTTGTGACCTGAAGAACGTTTGCGAATCTCTACCCGGGAAAAAGAGATCTTTAGAATTCTCAAAAGCCCTATCATCGTAGGTCCCAAGTGCTGACTTGTCTCTACAAAAACAACTTAGTCAATGCTCATTGTACTTTACATTGAATCGTGTAACAAATTCTTTTGATTAGAATCTGCTGCTTTTCAATCGGAAAAAAGTATATATTCAGGACACTTTGTTTTACAGAATGCGGATTTGCTCATGTGGTCTTCTTTTACTTCTACAAGTAGTCTCTACTCGGTGTGGAGGTTACGGGCAGAGTTTCGCTCCAAGTTACAATCCGAGTTACCAGCCGAGTTACCAGCCAAGTTACACGCCAAGTGACACGCCAAGTTACACGCCGAGTTACACTCCAACTTACATCCCAGGAGGTTACGGCAGACACGGATACGTATACAAACCAAGAAAACCAGTTCCGGTACCTGTACCGGTACCTTCACCAGTTCCCGTACCGGTACCTGTCACCAGTTTCCGTACCAGTACAGTCACCTGTTCCGGTTCCACTACCGGTACCTTCACCAGTTCCCGTACCGGTACCTTCACCAGTTTCCGTACCAGTACAGTCACCTGTTCCGGTTCCACTACCGGTACCTTCACCAGTTCCCGTACCGGTACCTTCACCAGTTTCCGTACCAGTACAGTCACCTGTTCCGGTTCCATTACCGGTTCCATATCCATATGCATATCCATATCCAGTTACGAATCCCTTTGGTATGTCTCCATGCTGTGGACGATTCCGAGTTGCCAGAAGTGAAGGTGAATACATTTTCGATAAACATTCAGCTGGAGTTATTTTTTATTTGGGTTGAAGGGCAGGGAATGTTCACAAGAAGTCACCGCGATTACGACCTCTGAGTTTAGTTCATTGTTACCGTCCTTGTTTACATATAATGTTCGGTTTCTTTTACATATCGCACATACATATTTATAAACATGTAGGTAATCTCGGCACTATTCAACTATTACTACCCCAAAAAGTCAAAAAAATTTTTTTGGTGAAACTTTGCCCACAGTTGTAATTCGGTGTAAATTTACATCGAATTTGCATAGTAGGGTTTTCAAAGTCCTGATCACGAATACCGAATAAGTTTTCGGTCCTGACGCTATTTGGCGCCATTAGGCGCTGATTTGGCACACTCTTTCTTCCACACACCTTTCTATCAAAATCGATAGAAACCTGGGGTCGTTTGTTGCCCTGATCACGAATATGGCATTCGTTATTGACTCCAGCGCCATTTAGCGCTAAGGCTGAGCTTAGGAGAAAGAGTGATTTCTTCAGGTCAGGCTCAACCTTAGCAGAGCGCAGATGATCGCAGCGTCTTCCATCAGCGCCAGCGCCAAAATGAATGTGATATTTGTAATCAAGATGTCAAATAACCTCCGTATACAAGTTTTCAGCGGATTTGTGACCTAGGGTACCTTGGCGCCGGCGCCTGTGGCGCGGGCGCCAGGCAGTTTCATGCCGAGCGGATGTGATATTCGCGTTCACGAGGTCAGACTACTTCTGGGGACGAATTTGATCTTCAGGGTTTTCGCCTTGGCCTGTGACGCGGGCGCTAGCGGTGTTTCCAGGCAAAATGGATGTGATATTCGTGTTCAGGAGGTCGAATTACCCCTAGAACCCAACTTTCAGCCAAATCTGCCCCCGTAGAAAAAAGTCGATCAAGATCCGGCCTGTTTTCGGAAAATTGGGGTAGTAATAGTTGAATAGCGCCGTTATTCAATCTATCTCTATGGTATCCTACCTCCAAAAACCAACGATTGTGGCTTAGACGTACCCTTCCATTTGCTGTAGGTAATACAAAGTAACGATTTATAAGTCAAACTGTGCCTTCTCACGAAAGCTCATACAGACGTGACCTTCTCACGAAAGAGCTCATACAGACTTGACCCGAATCCTCAAAACAGTGGTGTGCCTGTACATGCCTGTGCACAAGAGAGCAGAAATGGTTGAATATCGCGATAAACCCATCGACGCGCTGGCATTGCAAAAGCGCTGGAATGCTATAGACGGGAACCCAGCCGGTACAAATCGCATAGATGGGTACGATCTGTACCGGTGCTAGTGTTGTGCTAGGCTACGACAATAGGAGATATGTTCACATAGCCTTTTATTGATCGGTACTGGCTTCCTACTAGTGTTTTGGAGAGAAAAACAAAAATAGGAGGGCACAGGTTGTGTGGTTAACCACGTTATCCTCTTGTTCTCCTACGCTCACTGGAGACTAGCGGTAGGCGCCAATCGATTCTCATCTATGGCTGCGTTCCCGTCTACAGGTGGGGGAGGGGGAGCAAAAAAGCAAAAAAAAGACAGTTTGCCCGAGACACATACCAGTAAAGAAGACGCAGCCCAGATAGAAGACGTGGATACCAGGGCGGAAGATACCCAAGATGTTCCTCGATAAGCAGGAGCTGGCTCTCGCCCATCACCTTCATGTACACCAAAATATGAAGTCATCTCCAGTCGCAGCCTGACTGGAGAAGACCTTTGGAATTCATGTCACCTCCAAACAGCTGCGAAACTTCACGGGAAGACCGATATTGTCTTCGTGGACCCCGGACAGAAAGTGAACGCTGACTGCTTACATCGAACAGCTCGAGGAGAATATCCTGCCTTCATGTCGTCGCCTGTACCATCTTGGAAACTTCGTACTGCTACAGGATTGGGTGCCAGTACATGGAATCGAAGGGAGTTGGAAAAATTCTCGCCTAAATGGAATCGAAGGGCGACCTGAAGAATACGGGATATCCAAGTGCGTCACCTGACCTGAATGCCCTCGATCATCGTGCTTGGGAGGAGCTCAACAGCTTCGTCTATACTGGCGGAAAAATCAACAACCTTGCTGAACTCAGGAACCGATCACGATCGCGTAGCAGAGTCTCTCGATGCCGTCCGTTTAGAAGGCTGTGGCGAAGTTTCCTGAGGTACAATGTGTTCCGAATTTGATGGTGAAAATGTCTAATTAGAACTTCTCAAAAAGTAACTTATAGGCTTTGAAAGCCGAAGAAAAACTATGTTTTTTGGCCACCCCCCCTGTATAGCATTTTAGCACTATTACAATGGCAGCGCGTCATTGCGAAGTCTGAGCGCTGTCTTCACGTTAGAGCCAGCCCTCTGCTGCGATTCGAGATCATGAAAATGCTCCGCAAGCCACACAACAAATCGTAGGGGACCGTCATAAGGAGCATACTATCAAACTATTACTGATTTTGTACCCCCTCAGTGACTCCCGGACTGGTGATGGGCAAGCACACTAAGTCGATGTTGTTCATGAAACATGTAAAGTAATATGCTCGCTCACTGGACCCTTAGGTTTGACCTCCCGATAACTTTACTGAGGGCAACTACGGTATACTTCTCGTTCCAGGTACACAAGCAGGAGGCGAATGGAGAGCGGTGAGAGCAATAAGAAATAGCAACTGCATTGGCTGTCCGATGAAGAAGAAGTGATCACGTAATAAATTCAAACTATGAGAACTAAGTGCTATGAATAAAATATTAATTATTCGCGGGTTGCCAGCTATAATGAAAACTTCAGCTCCTGCTTGAGCAACTTATTTAGCAAGTTGATGTAGAGTTGGTCCTATGAGCGTATTTTGGGGTAGCAACCCCTACTAAATAAACGTGAGGTTGAAACAATCCGTATAGTTCCTACAACATTAATCTGAGAGCAATACGTGTCCAGAAAGGTTTAAACAAATGAAGTGTTTCGATTATTCATAAATTCATGACGTTATCATGTATCACCGTTCATGACATCCTTTTTCAGTACCTTGAGAATACTACCAGCACAGGTAGAGCGTCAACA